TAGTCCGTCGTGCGGGACGCGAAAGAAAACCGCGAGGAAAAAATGCCCGCGCGAAATCCATGGGGCGAGAAGCGCGCGCTTTCTTTCGTACGCCTCTCGCCCTCAGGAATTCACGCGGCGTTTTTTTCCTCGCGATTTATTAACGGTCTTGTTCGACGGACTAAGCGACAGAGGACTACTCGTAGTCTACAAGTCCAATTCGACCAAAGAATTTGATCCGAACTTCTTCAGAATGACGGGCAGAGTCAGGAAAGTCAGCCAAGAACCATGGGCCTTCGAAGTCCGCGAATGTTTACTCCAATTGTTGACCCCCCTCTGGTAACATGTGAAAATCTAAACCGGTTTGACCGGTGTTGCTGGTTTGTTCGCGTTGTTCAGCGTCGCCAGAAATCGAAACCACGAGGAGCTGCGAAGGTGTTTTCCAGAAGCGCGGTGAGTTCGTGATCGAAAATCGTTGGTAATGGAGGAGTACAAGGTCCATGTCGGTTCTTTATCGTACAACACAGATGAAGATTCTCTCAAAGCCTTCTTCGAAGAAAGAATTCAACTAGAAGTTGTTGACGGTAAGTGGTTTTGCGAGGACAAGCGATGCGAGCACCAGAAATGATCGAACGTTAAACGGACTTGTGCTAGTAAATTACCGTGTGTTTTGGTCGGGTACGGAGGGAAGTGCTAAAATTTGAGCTTACTTCGAGTTTTTTTTCTCCTGAAGAAGTTGTGTCCTTTTGAAAGGGAGAGCTAGTTGAATCGTTAGCTTAAATGTCTTAAATCGTTCGAATGGTGTTTCCAAATAAGAACGGCTAATTCTGCAGCTATGACCATGCCTTGACACTGACATTTTTATCTGAAAGTTTAATACCCTTCATCGAGTATGAAACGCTGTTTCTTTAGTAAGAGTGAGAAGTGTTTCGAGCTTTACTGGTCGAGGCCATGCGGGGTTGTCTTCAATTCGCTTCGGCGTGAACTTCACATGGAATGCACCACTAGGAGGGCCTAACGGGAAAGTATTTGTCCCGCGTTATTAGTAAGGACGAACAACGAATTCTGTTTATTTCAGTTTCATTCTATCCGTTCGCTAGCCTGTATCTGTACACATGTAGCAAGCGTTTCCCCGTACGAACGAAAGTAGTGCCAGCCGCACAAGGAATACGACTTCATGTAAGTTTATTGATTGACATCTTGTCACAGTTTCGAGGAACTTTAGAAATAGCGGTATTGGATCGGTTGTACAGCGAAAATACGTCAAGTGCGAAGCAAAAAGAAACGCTTTCTGTCAATAACTGGTCACTTGGCTCGAAGTTATGGCCTCTTCACTACATAGTAAGATCACTCCAAGTCTGTTTGCTCCAACAAAAAGGTTAGATCTCTCCACACGAGCATTCAGTCTTTGAAATGTTAAGTTCGTGCGTTGTGCAAAAAGACAGTCTTTGATTTGAACTCGCAGTCAAAGGTGAAGAAGAAGAAGAAGAAGACCAGGCGTTGATACAGGAAATGGAAGAGTTTAATGTTCGCACTTAAGGTTACTTCCCACCTTCAAGAGTGAAAAAAATCATCTTTTCTTTTATTTGCCTAAATTGAAGTTTATCATTTTATCTAACATTTACAGAAAAAAAAACTTAAAAATCTCAAAAATTGCTAGCGTTATTTAACAAAATTTGTTTTCCAAGAAAAGTTAATAAATAATGGTGTCATAATCTCATAAGTAGGTGACGTCGCAGAGGAAATTTCGCAGGAAGCGGGTTCTTATTTCATGTGATTTGCATATTTTCTTTGTGCATTGTGCGTTCGAGTTTCATGGAGAAATCTAAAACAGATAGAAGTCCTTGGGTAAAATCAATGAAAAAACCAGGGCCAAAGAAGAGAAAAAGGAAAGGTTCTGGGAAAGAAAGGGGAAAAAGCTTCACAGAAAGCAACAAAGGCTCTTGGTTCGGCCAAATGCCTTTGTCGCCTTTGTGCTTTCCTTCGACTTAAAATAATTTATAAATCAGCAAAACACAACCTACCCCAAAGACCTCATTTTGGATATGAGAGCAGCCCGAATGTTCTCGCTCGATTTGATTGATTCTCCTTCGGTTGACACATTTCGTTTCTTGACGCAGGATTTCCCCTTGCCTTTGGCAACTTTACCCATTGCCAGGATTGCTTTTCTTTCGTCTTGCCGGTCAAAAGATCGAAAACGTGACTGTAATGCAACA